CAGGAGAAGTAACAGTAGCTTGCCTTTGAAATAAAAGTCGCACCTTTTGAAGAGTGTTGTCGAGTGTTTGCGGACACATCGGCATCTTCTTGTATTGGACGTTTATTCCTGAGAGTCTAGAAACCTTATGTTGACGATGTTTGTGATGTAAATTGCATATGCTTGAGCTAACATTCGTAGTACCTCATAAATAATTTTAAATACCACATTCATCTATTCATTTATTACAGTCATTTAAGACCGCCTTCCTGATGTATAGCTGTACAAAGTTGCCTGCACTTTCTCTGTCCCTCTCTAAATACCAGTCATGTCACATGTGTATGGAAAAAACAGGCACATGTCCCTTTGTGTAGGCACAAAACTAGTGAGTCCAGGATGTGTCTGCAATAGGAGTCAAACACTCCTCCCATGGCAAACATCCGCTCACAGCAGTCTCCCACCCATCACCACCATCCTTCACCCTGAGCTCGCTCAGCTCCCTCGCAGGACCTCATAAACCCTTTCTGGCCACCTGCGTCAGCTGCTTTGATTTGAGATGTGTTTCTTTGTTGGTAATGTTTTTGTTTCAAAGATTTAGAAATAACATCTCTGTGGTATTTATTTACATTCAAAAAAGTCATAGCATTGAAAAAGAAAGACACAAAAATGTGGCTGTAGTTTGAATGACAGTACGTGGTAGTTACACAGATGGTAGACCGCAACGTTGCTGACTCGGTTATATTTAGCTGGTCAAAGCCTTTCATATGGGACTGAGAGATAAATAATCTATTGCTGGTGCACGTGAGCTGTTTTCTTTTTGAGGATGTGTGTAGCACGAGGCAGCAACACAACCAGACACTGGTGGCCTGAAGGCCTTAGAGATGCAGAGTTACATGTGCAGTGGCTACACTGTTGAAAAATACAAGCATTGTGACAAATAATAGCATGACCTGAACACTGTAAATCGATAAAATGATCCTGTATAAGACACGCCCTCTGTGTTTATAATGTATCGTATAGTCTGACTAAGGGTTTGATTTAAAATCGACTATTTAATCAACTTTGCTTCATCTGTGGTGTTCCCAGTCAAAAGTGACCACCATAGGAAATGAATGGGAATCCACCCACCCCCCACCCCCTTTGGCCTCTGACCCCCTGAATGGCCCAATGAATGACCAAATAAATGAAACCAACTGAACAACCCACTGAATGACTCAGTGAACGACTCATTGAACTACCCTCTGAACTGAATTTGGTGGTGAAAAATGTTTGTTATGTTAATATAAGAGTTGTTAAAACTGACATTGTGACCGGGAACATTCAAGTAAGGGAGGTGGGGGTGCACACAACCAGTTTAAACATAATGACCAAATTCTTTAATTTCATTTTTTCCATAAATGAGCAGTTTTATAATAGGAACTTTGGGTCTATTATTAGGAAAATATGTTAGCAACCAACCCATGTTGTGGAGTTGGGGTTGGTTATTACTTTATCTAAATCTTATACATTTGGAAAGTCTGCTTATGTCCTCTTAAATGGTGCCACATTTGTAAGGTTGAGCAGCAGAGTTTAGTATGTGGGTTTTACCCTCAAAAATAGTAACAAGTAATCGACTAAACACAAAAGTCGTTACTTTTAGTGCTCAGCTGAGACTGAAGAAGTCACTTGGATGAG